GTTCTGGACAGATGGAACAACCTTTGAGATGGGAAAATATGGCATATCTGAAGAACTGAAGGGAGTTTAGTAAGGATGAAACTCAAGATAGGACATTGGTGCAGCTTTAGGAGTTTTAAGCAGGGAAGTGTCATTATATGATTTCACTTTTAGAAAGATCACTATGGCTACAGGGTGGAGAGCAGATTGAGTACAGAAAACTGAAAGAAGGTGAAATAATTTTCTAGATGAGACATGACAATTATATGATTTAAGGTTGTAACAGTTGAGATGGAAAGATATAGACTTATTAGAGAGTTATCTTGGAGGCAGAATCTGCAGAAACTTATATGGAGAATTCCTCTTCCCTCTCCCCAAGGCAGAGTCAACCTCCACAGCTGCTCCTTGGAAAACCTATGGGGCAGTTCTACTCTGTTCTACAGGGTCTCTATGAGTCAGAATTGACTCAATGGAAATGGGTTTCAAGGCAGAGCCAGACTAGGTGTTGGTCTAGGCAAGATAATCATTTGCCTACATGTGAGTTAGACATTCCTGGAGGATTTCCAGCTGAAAATATGATCCTTGTTATCTGCAAACCGATGCCTAAAACTCTACCATTAAGTATTCATTTCTCTTGATAATTGCCCTGGATTGCCTGTTGTCAACTAAGCATCATCATCATCCCCTTCTAAGCGCTACATGCATTGCAGAAACAAAGTCAGAAATTACATTTTCTAGAATCCCTTTCTCTGTATAGTTCTAGGTTATACTTGTTTTCAATAAGAAGAACTCATGTGTAATTTGGAAGGCCAAAGAGGAGAAGCCATTATTCTTTGGACACATTGGCAGCAGACGTGAGGACAAAAGTGAGCTTTACAGTGGCTTCCCACTGAGCTCTTATGAACCATTCTTGTCACTGCTGCAGGCTGAGACAGTAGGTGCAAGCTTCTCAGCACTTTCTTGTCAAGCTTTTGAGAATCATATGCTTTGGTGCTCTAGGCTGATATATCCAGTGTTGGCTTTCCTGACATTTTCTCCTGTAGCTTTTCCAAAGATTACATAAACCCCTAATTCTTATATTAAACTTTTTGTACATTGAGTGGATTTTTTTTTTCTGATGGAAGTCTGACTGAAAGAGGTTTATGTACCAAGAGTGTTTCCAATGGAGCAGGAAAAAAAGAAGAAGAAAAGGGAATCTCTAATTGGTTCCCTGACCTGGTTATATTTGGAGGCAATACTAACTTCATTTCCAGTGGAAAGCAGGTAACTGATGGTCCATGACATGTAATGACTAAATGGTTCCTTAAATTATCAACTTCAACTGTCAGGAATCAAATGTCTACAGAAGGCAGGCCTTGGAATGACCAAGTTTTTGTACTAATACAACTTCATGGTGGATAAAGAGTGGTGGATATGGGATGGCTACTTCTGATTGAACCAGAGAACTTACAGAAACAAAACAACAATCTAAATTCTTTAAATTCCTAGCTCAAGGCACAAACAGAGAACCAGAAAGCTTCTATGATTTCATTAAAGGAATTCTTTGTTTTTTATAGATACAGGACTGAGATTTCTGCAATGTTGTTTTGTTAGGTGCCATAGAGTCAGTTCTGACTCATAGTGACCCTATGTACAACAGAGCTAAATGTCACCCAGTCCTGTGCCATCCTCACAATCATTGCTGTGTTTGAGCACATTGTTGCAGCCACTGTGTCAATCAATCTCATTGAGGGTATTCCTCTTTTTCACTGATGCTGTACTCTACCAAGTATGATGCCCTTCTCCAGGAACTGGTCCCACCTGATAATATATCCAAAATACGTAAGATGAAGTCTTGCCATCCTTGCCTCTAAGGAGCATTCTGGCTGTACTTCTTCCAAGACAGATTTGTTCGTTCTTCTGGCAGTCCATGGTATATTTAACATTCTGTGCCAACGTCATGATTCAAAGGTGTCAATTCTTCTTTGGTCTTCCTTTTTCACTGTCCAGCTTTCCCATGCATATGAGGCGATTAAAAATACCATGACTTGAGTCAGGCTCACCTTAGTCATCAAGATGACACTTTTACCTTTTAACACTTTAAAGAGGTATTTTGCAGTAGATTTGCCCAATGAAATACATCGTTTGATTTCTTGATTGTGCTTCCATGGGTGTTGTGGATCCAAGTAAAATGAAATCCTCAACAACGTTAATATTTTCTTCATTTATCATGATGTTGCTGATCGATCCAGTTGTGAGGATTTTTGTTTTCTTTATTTTGAGGTGTGATCCATACCGAAGGCTGTAGTCTTTGATCTTCATCAGTAAGTACTTCAAGTCCTCTTCACTTTCAGCAAACAAGTTTGTGTCATCTGCATATTGTAGGTTGTTAATGAGTCTTCCTGGAATTCTGATGCCTTGTTCTTCTTCATATGGGCCAGGCTTCTCGGATTATTTGCTCATCATACAGATTGAATAAGTATGGTGAAAGGATACAACCCTGACCCACACCTTTTATGATTTTAAACTACACAGTATCCTCTTGTTCTGTTCAAACAACTGCCTCTTGGTCTATGTACAGGTTCTGCATGAGCACAATTAAGTGTTCTGGAATTCCCATTCCTCGCAATATTATGCATAGTTTGTTATGATCCGCACAATCGAAAGCCTTTGCATAGTCAGTGAAACACAGGTAAACACTTTCTGGTATTCTTTGCTTTCAGCTAAGATCCATATGATGTTAACAATGATATCCCTTTTGTTCCATGTCCTTTTCTGAATCCAGCTTGAATTTCTGGCCGTTCCCTGTTGATGTACTGCTACAAGAGTTTTTGAGTTATCTTCTGCAAAATTTTACTTGCGTATAATATTGTTTGATAATTTCTGCATTTCGTTGAATCACCTTTCTTTGGAATGGGCACATATGCGGCTCTCTTCCAACTGGATGGCCAGGTAGCTGTCTTCCAGATTTCTTGGCATAGATGAGCAAGTGCTTCCAGCATTGCATCCATTTGCCAAAGTTGAAGAATTTAAAGATTTTTACCAACTTTTGCAGTCTGAAATTGATTAAACATTCAATCAAGATATATTGATAATTACTGGTGATTGGAATGTGAAGTCAGAAACAAAGAAGAAGGATCAGTAGTTAGAAAATATGGCCTTGGTTACGAAAATGATGCTGGAGATTACAGGATAGAATTTTGCAAGGGAAATGGTTTATTCATTGGAAATATCTTTTTTCAACAACATCAGCGGCGACTATATATGTGGGCCTCATCACATGGGATGCACATGAATCAAATAGACTACATCTGTGGAAAGAGACAATGGAGAAGCTCAATAATCATCACTTAGAAAACAGCCAGGGGCTGACTGTCGTGCAGGACATCAGTTGCTCTTACGCAATTTCAAGTTGAAGCTGAAGAAAATTAAAACAACTCTACGAAAGCCAAAGTACAACCTTGAGTATATCTCACCTAAATTTAGAGACCATATTGAGAATAGATTTGATACATTGAACACTAATATCTGAAGACCAGACGAGTTGTGAGATGACGTCAAGGACATCATACACGCAGAAAACAAAAGGTCATTAGAAAGAGCAACCAAGAGAAATGATGAAGTAAAAGAGTTGAACAGAAAATTTCAAAAGGTGGTTTGAGAAGACAAAGTAAATTATTATAATGAAATGTGCAAAGATCTGGAGTTAGAAAACCAAAAGGGAAGAACATGCTCGGCATTTCTCAAGTTGAAAGAACTGAAGAAAACATTCAAGCCTCGAGTTGAAATATAGAAGGATGCTATGCGCAAAAAGTTGAATGATGCAGGAAGCATCAAAAGACATTGGAAGGAATACACAGAGTCACTGTATCAAAAACAATTAGTCAACATTCAACCATTTCAGGAGGTAGTATATGATCAAGAACAAATGATACTGAAGGAAAAAGTCCAAGCTGTACTGAAGGCATTGGCAAAAAACGAGACTCCAGGAATTGATGGAATACCAGTTTAGATTTCTAAAAAGCAAACCCAAAATCTGAATCTTAAGATAGCTGAATTAAGTGCAAATTGGATCCAGAGTCTTGTAGTGTCTCATATGTTAAAGTAAAACCTTAATTAGGGAAGGGTGGGACCCTGAAAACTAGGATGGGACATTTGAGTAGATTATTGTGAATCTGAGTTCATTAAGCCTCCAAACCCCACCAAGCCTTCCTTCCCAACTGAAGCAACTCCTCCTCCCTTATCTAAGGAGTTTTTTCTCCCTTTTCAGGAAGACTCTGTATTGACCTCAGATAAGGCAGTTGCCTTGCTGTAGAATGCTGACTTTCCTCAAGAGCCTTTCCCACTACCACTCATTTCCTGTAAACCCATAACTAGACTCAAATCCCTACAGACCTGAAGAAGATGAGCATAAAGTTTGACCTTCGAGGAGTTACATACATACCAAAAGAATTGTAATATTCTGCAATTTAAACCCATAGATATCTGGGCAATACATGCAGAAATAGATTCTAAAGGTGTTATACCATGGAGGAAGATATGTAATGGGGGACTGGATTGAATTTATTGATTTAAATGTACTGATCACAGATTCTAGATTCAATGTGTTATCTCAAGCAATTAAAAGCACTATATCAATATTCTAAGTGATTGATTAAATCCTCTACACAACCTTAAATGAAGATAAGATACTAGAACTTCTTTGATATGCTGTAGAAGAAAGAATTTAAAGGCTAGGGAGATATGCTATACAATCTGTAATCTTCCCCTATATATGTCCCCCACAGGGTCCAGAGTGCCTTGCCTTCATCAAGGCACTGAAAAATACATTGGTGAGGGAAGCATCAGCATCCTTGAAAGGCTCTGTAATGGTTGTTCTCTAGAGACCAGGGTTGACAGTGGACGATGCCATCATTGAGATGTTTTTATTAGCTGTCTTCAACTCAACTCTGACTCATGATGACCTTATGTATAACAAAACAATGTTTCTTGGTCCTGCCTCATCTTCATGATCATTGTTTGAGTTCATTATTGTGGCCTTTAAAAATATGGAGCATTTCACACATTTGCATGTCGTCCTTGAGTGGGGGCCATGCTATTCTTCTCTAAGTCATTCCAATTATAGATGATTCCATCAATTCAATGGGGATTATATAATCTTAGAATGGGAGCAGGAACTCTTAAACTCTAGGGACATGGTGAGAGTGGTTAGTCTAATGGGCACCATGGGTACAGCATTAATCTGAATGCTTTAAGCCTAGGACTAAAATAGATGGGTAGCCCACTATTACTTGAGCTATATAGGAAACAATCAAACAAGAAACCCTCTAGATCTGGTAAACAGAGACCTGATTTGAGATACCATAATAAAGAGTCATGGCCCTTCACTCAATTTCCAGACCTGATCCAGTTCAGAAATACAGAATCTCTTGAATACAAGGGGAGCCAGATCCCTTTAAGGAATAACTCTACTACATTACCAATAAATGCATACTGTAAATCTTTACACTGGACTTTGTCAGAAAGAATTTCAGCCATTACACTGGGAATTGTCCATTGGGAAAAGAGAAATAACTAGACACTTTAGGATTTACTGGCTCTGAACTAATGTTTCTGGAGACACAAAACACCACTGTTGTCCATCAGAGTAGGTGGAGCTTATATGATCAGGTAATAAGTGGAGTTTTGACCTGTACCCATCTCACAGAAGAAATAGTGGATCCCCAAGCTTACCTTGCAGTTATTTTCATAGTTCCAGAATGCCTGTTAAAATAAATATATTCAAGAACTGTTCTACCAAGCTCCATATAAAAAGGGTTCTATGGTCAAAAAAGTTTGAGAAACAGTGCATAACTTACTCTCTCTTTAAGATTTATAATGGAGTTTAAAATATCAAATGTTCTGAAAAGTTTTGCAATAAAGGAAACTATTTAACTTTGTTTAAACAGTGCTTCCCAACATAATCTTTGTCATGGAATCCTTCTTCATATACAAAGTATTTACCTCTCAGATAAGGTTAAGGAGCCCTGGTTGCACAGTGGTTAAGTGGTTAAGGCTAACCAAAAGGTCAGCAGTTCAAACCCACCAGCTGCTCTGCAGTAGAAAAATGTGACCGTCTGCTTCCATAAAGATTACAGCCTTGGAAACCCTATAGGGAAGCTCTTCTCTGTCCTACAGGGTCTCTATGAGTTGGAATCAACTGGACTGCAATGGGTTTGGTTTTCAGATAACGTTCCGCATAAAATTTTTCAGCAACTTCTTAATACACCCTAGCTTTGTGACAAAGAAGTCAAGGTGTTGGGAGAGGTGAGTTAGAGGTAGTTAAAGCTGAGTGTGCAGATCATGAGACAAGGTAGCATTTATGAAGTGCCCGGCATACAGCAGACACCATCACATGCATGTACACGTACATGGATACAAGTATACTTACTCTGTCAGTAACTTTCAAAAACAGTAGATAATAATATTTCTAGTTTACTGACAAGGAAAGTAAGGCTCAATATGGTAAATAACTTGCTCAAGTTTGGCCAGCTAATAAATTGCAGAAATGAAATTTGAACCCAGTTTTCTGTGACTCCAAAGGCCAGGTTTTTTCCAATATACTAGATTGAAAGGAAGAGGGATAAAGAAATGAGAGTCAAGGGCACAAAAATGTCACTTAATTGATCTCACACTTTTGTTTGGAATACAGGCAACTCCTTCCTAATCTATTTCATTCCCCAGGGAAGGCTAGGCCCTACCTCTTTCCCAGCAATGGATTCCTTTTACTCACCCACTTGTGCCCGGTCCTGATAACAACTGTTAGTTTCCCCATGTCTTGAAATACTGCAGCTGCTTGGCACACACAGAGTTAACATTATTGCCATCACTGTGTCTACATTTATGAGCAAGACCCTTCAGCTGACTCAAGGGAGCTTTGAGAAATGAGAATTTGCCTAGGCCCAGGGGAGGGATGAAAACTGTTATCACTCTGAGGCTATCTTGTGTTTAGTCTATTTGCTTGTGATTTTTGTTTCCCTTTCTTAGTCCCTGTGACAAACTCCTGATGCTATCATTTTGCATTAAAAACTCTGAGCCTTACTTCTGGTTCCCTGAGTTCACAGGACACTGTCTAAGTGACACCAAGCATTGAAATTGTTCTGAGCAATTCACTGGCACCTTTCATCTAGGAGACCACCGGAAGATGTAGCAAACCACAAAAATGATGCCACTAATTGATGCCCACAGAGTGTGCTCCTGCTCAGTAAACAACATTGAACTAATGTAAAAATGACTGCCATACAACTAGTCCCATGATAAAAATGAGGGCTGACCTTGCAGAAGTGGGTAGGGATAATAAGTTCTAATGGAAATTAGAAATTTGGAGCATATACTTGAAGCTGGACTCAGCTGCAAATAGTAAAAGCAATAGGGCCAGGCAGGTAAATCTTGATGTCCAAAAAGTATAGAGATGGATTATCTCTGAATCCTGCCCCTCCCTGGGGGAGGGGGCAGGGAGATCTGGCCTTCATGGAACATGAAGTGTCATCATCTGAGGCTGGGGGATTCAGAACAATGGACGTGTGACTGCTGGGGGAGTTAGAAGAAACACCAAACCTTTGAGGTCAGAGGGAGAAATCTGGGCTATGGAGCTAGGAGTTCAGAGCAGGGGAGAGAAGCTTCAACAGATTAAGATAAATTAAGTGGAGTATAAGAAACTTATGTCTGAGGCAGGGCCAAGATTGCGGAGTAGTTGGACACTTCTGGTGGACCCTCTTACAACAAAGACCTGAAAAAACAAGCGTTTTGATTATATACAGCAATCTGGGAGCCCTGAACATCAAAGGCAGAGTTGAGGAACTGGACGGAGTGGCAGAGGGAGGCAGAGATGGTTCGGAAGCAGTGAGGAGTTGCTAGACCTGACACGGCGAGAGCCTGAACCCTTCCGTCCTGAGCAGCTCGGGAGTGAGCAGTGAGGCAGGCAAGCAGCTGGTGTTCAGGAGGCGCGTTTTCTGCACTGGGGAGACCCAGTGCCAGAGAGTCTACATGGTCACCCAGAACCAGGGAGAAGCAGCCCTCAATCAGGCGAAAGATAAGTAATTGCATATGGCTTACCACGTGGTTCAAAAATACCCCCCTTAAGGAAAAACATCTCTCCCATTTACCTCCCCACTCCCTGCTCTGCACTGGGTCCCGGACTGGCTTAAGCAATTGCTGAGTCCCCTGGGCCAGAAGTAGGATCCGTCACATGACCGGAGCCATTCTGCCTGCCTTGGAGAGTGCACACATTAACAAACAGGGGGATAAAATAAACTGCCAGCTCCTCTAAGCTAGGAACCTGGGGTAGGCACAGTTCCTTTGCCTAGGCACACGCATAAGGGATCCATGGACTTTGTGTGCCTTTCCCCCTGCAGAGACTTGTGTGGGCCCATCTCAACAGTGTAGGCCCTCATTACCACAGTACAACAGGGTATATACCTGAAGTCTAACTTCAACTGTTTAAGCTATGAAGTGGCAGGTTCTTGACATTTGACACTGCTCAGCCCATTAAGCAAGGTCTTCACCTACCCACATCAGGGGCCTGAGGACTGGTGGCTCCACCCATGCCACCTAGCCACCTGCGATAGAGGCCCACGAATAAGAGGTGCCCCCCTGTCCTTACAGCCAACAGCATTGGGTGCTCATAGTCTGGATGCAAAATCTACACACCTATGCACTCTAAGGAACAGGAACATACCTTCCTCCTGGACACTCGGGGGCAGCCATCAGCCCCCTGCATTGCTCAGAATGTGTCCTCCTGCTGCAGCCAGCTGCCTGTGCCTACACCAGTCACCCATGCCTGTCTAGGACTGGGTGAGAGCCTGCACCACACACTTGGTGCCTATGTATCTGGGCACCTGAGCTGAATCCAAACAGGAAGAGTGGGTGGACTCCTGAGCTCACATACCTAGTAACAGATCTAACCACCTGGTGACAGGACATTAGAGCTTCAAAGGTGCCAATAATCAACCTAGCTCATATGAGCAGCCTATTTGAGCATATCAAAACAAAACAAGAA